AAACCCGACTATTAGTAGTAGTAAAAAACTTGGCATGCATTTCAACCTAATATTGCGTTAATGTCAGGCCCTATCTGCTTGTTTAGTCTTAGAGAAGGGACAAGGACTCTAACTTAGTTTTAATATTTGATGGAATATAAAGCTTCTTTTACTTCAAAAGTTAAGAGTAAACAGCATATAATATTGAGAGAGAGAGAGATTAGACGAAACAATAAGATACGTCAGACATGAGAACTGAGTTAAAATCCATCGCTTTCGCCATTCCAACAGTCAGACTTGAAGTTGAAGAAGCGTAAGATATAGAGCCTTTTTATAAGCAATGTGATCATAACATCTAGTAACTTAATATTCTAGTTCATGAACTAATGTAGATAAATGTAAACAAATGTGAACAAATAAAAAATAAGTTTATTATTTTCACATTTATACATCCCTTAAACTTGTTTCATCACTCCAAGAGCCTTCCTTAGCTTTTGAAAAAGCTCAATCTTTAACGGCATGGTGAAAATATCCGCATTTTGGTCTTGTGACTTCACGTGCTCAAGCTCCATAACATTATTAAATATGCATTCTCTAATAAAGTGATACCTAGTATCAATATGCTTGCTCCTTTCATGAAATACTGAATTCTTGGCTAGTTCAATAGCCGATTTGTTGTCAACAAAAATCTTTGTTGCACCTTTCTGTGGTAGGTGAAGTTCCTCCAACAAGCTCTGATGTTATAAACGTCAATACCACACAAGAGGGGGGGTGATTTGTGTGGTACCTAATTTTCGCGTTAGAAGAACCTGGTTCTTCTAAGTGTTCTAACTACAGCAGTTTGCGGAATAATAAATGCTGAAAGTAAAGTGCACAGAGATTTTTACGTGGAAAACACCTGGCTCAAAAGGTGAAAAAACCACGACCTACTACTCAGTAGGATTTTCCCAAACTCCACTAAAATCACTGAGCCAAAAACTGCATTTACAAAACTCTTTGTAAACCTAAGGATTAACTCTAATCCCAGTGTAGCGCACAGCCTCAACTGTTGCGACACTTTCAAGTTAACTCTAACTTGAATAATCAATATACCTATTACAATTGCTTCTATGAAAGCTGAAAAGTACAATATGAAAACCTACTACAATTGAACTAGACTTAGAATAAACACAATGATGAAACTGGTTCTTCTTTCTTAGTTCATGTAGCTTCAGACGTGCACACTTGTATCTCGCATATGTTGCTTGCAAATCAGACTTGATCTTTTTGCTCTCAAATATGCTTAACTTCTGCTTATGTGCAATCACCTGTAAAAGAGAACAATCGTTATATTTATAGAGTTAGTAATCAGAGTTTGATAAGAACTCGAATTGTGGATCCTTTGACAATTCGAGTCCAAGAACAACTCTAACTCCTAATCCATATCCTTGATCCGGATATAATTCTCTTTTCATAAGGAGACTTCAACTCCTTATCCTATATGCAATCTTTTCGATCAATTCAGAAGATATTTTTGCTGATCCTTGAGACTTATCTTCTTCACGCGTATGTCACATGTGTAAGCATATCAACACTGTGTCTCACATGATGAACCTGGTTCATGACTGAGTTCATTTTGTCAATCTTCAAAACTTCATCTGAACTTGGGCCAACAAATTCCCCCTTTTTGATGATGACAAACTCTGTGCTTTTATTGATCAGAGACCCTGTGGAACTCAACTTAATTTTCACATTTTAATTTAACTTATCATTAAGGAGCAGGTTTAATCAGGTTATAAACATCACATTTTTCAGAATACACACAATATCTCTTCCCCCTTTTGGCATCATCGAAAAGTTGCATTTTATTAGAATCCCAGATGTTAATTATTACTCATGGCCACTGGGGCAACTGCAAGTGAAAACATGATTTAGTTAATCAATAATCAGCTTCACAGAAATTTAACTATTAAGATCAGAAGTTTCATAGAACAAGAGAAAACAAAGCACATTGTCATTGATTAGGAGATGTTTCTACAAAACAGACCACAAAAAGAAAAACAAACATCCAACCATGAGCAAAAAAAACAGAGAAAAGTCCCGAATCTGGGTCACTGAAGGAGTTTCTAAACTGGTTCTAGGGCTTGGAGGAACTAGAGGGTTGGGATTGAAGAAGATTAAGCATTGTTTGGAGCATCCCTTCACTCTTTTGTTTTTCCTTTGCTAGCTCATCTTTGAGGCTATTTCTTTCACTTTCCAGTTCAACAATGCGAGCCTGGAGCCTAACAATTTCTGCATCTTTTGTTCCACATTCTAGAACCAATGCCCTAACTTTGCTGTTAACAGGAGTCTTCACGGATGAACCAAGTTCAACTGGGGTTACACTTAGCAGATAATCACAAGCCTGCAGAGTTTTGATCCCAAAGTGCTCTTTGCTGGAGGCCATCTCCCACTTCTTCAATGGCACATCTAACTTGGCCAAGACAGTTGTCATTATAAACCCATAAGGAGTGGCATGGGCCTTGGAGCCATTTATCACTCTATCCAGCAGCTTGACAATGAAACTAGGCCAGTTAATCTGCTTTCCTGTCACAAGACACTCCAGAAGGACCAGGTCCATATAATTTGCAGTGTGCCTTCTCTCCTGTCTGGGCAGCAGACACTTGTTCACAAATTCAAATAGCACCTTGTGCTCAGGCTTCATCTCACTCTTTTGCACAAACCTAGCCTCAGGCACTTCTTCAGCAGACTTGGTATCACAGAAATTCTGGGTGATTTGGAGAGCAGAAGAGAGAGAATCTAGACAAGGCCACCTTTGCCTAGTATAATCATCATATCCCTCACAGGGTATGTCTAGAATTCTTCCCAACTTGGGTGCATCAAACTGCACCTCTACTCCTCTCACCAGGCTTGTAACAACCCCATTCACCACTGTGGCATTCGCCATAAACTCTATCAGTTANTTAAGTGTTTTTCCTTAGGTCTCTCTGTGTGTGTGTGTGTGTGTGTGTGTGAAAAATATATGGGGAAAAATTAGGTATCAACATTATGTATAACGATAAATCTCGTCATATACGACGTAGACATAAAACCGTTAGGCAATTACTCTCTAGAGGAATTATCACAATTGACTACGTAAAGTCAAGCGATAATGTGTCGGATCCACTTACAAAAGGCCTAACTAGAGAGGTCGTTGAGAAATCGTCGAGGGGAATGGGACTATGGAGGACAAGTCATTGTGGCGGTAACTCTACCTAGAAGACTAGAGATCCCAAGATCTAGGTTCAAGGAGATTAAACAAAGTCATTAATGACGGTTCAACATTATGAACTAAAATTTTAGTCCATTCTCGTGATGAGACAATGTTCAGTACCAAGGATAAAGCATTAAGGTTTTTTAATGATTTCTAAATTTGATACGGGGTATATTAAATAGTGTATCTACGGGATGACACGTTTAAGAATCACTTATGTAAGTGTGAAGTGTTAGCCGTTTCAAGGAGAATTTTGTATGGCCAGTTCTTTGCACACTTATGAAACCAGGCGGTGTTCATAGCTGAAATGAACACAACAATGAGAATCAAAGACGGCTAATGGTTGATTGTGTGACTTATGGTTGTGTAGGTATACACCAAACTTCGACGGTTCAAAGATATCAAATCTACCGATTGACCGAGTATATCCGACATAAGTTCACTACGGAAAGTTCAAAGGGAAACCTACTTATCCAGATGCGATTAATCCTTGCTTGCGAATATCATTGTTTTTCATGCATATTTCCGTGATATAGCCATTCCCCATTCATATGGAAGATTGTTGAGTTCTCAAAGCTTATTTTAGCTTAAAAGAGGGTGATGGGAAATTGAAGAAAAATGAAATATTTTAGTTTTCCTTCTTGACAAAGAGACATTGTCCCATATTGGAGGAGGAAAAGACTTTTGATGGGTATATATACAATTGCTCTTCTTCTAGCTCTTAAAGAGTTAAGAAGAAGGCAAGCCTCTCGCCGTCGTCGTCGCTCGCTCGACTCGGCTTCTGCTTCTGCTTCGGATTTGGTCGATTGATTGATTAATTTTTTGGACTAAATTTATTTGTTAATAGTAAATATTAACGTAATATTATTAAATATATCCGTTCTTTGCAACGAAAAATTAATATTAAATTCAAATTATCTGTTTTTTGTAACGAAAAAGTAATTTCCTCTGCGTTTGAATTCCCGTTTTAATTTGCGTAAATGGCCATTTACGTTATGGCCGTTTTACGTAATTAGCCATTGAAGAGTTGCACCTCTTCGTTTGAACTCAACAGGTTGGGGCTATAAATAACAATCCATTCCCTCAGATTTTCCATGCGAAATTCTGAATTCTCCTCCTTTCTTCTGTATTGTTTTAACTACAAAGAAAGCAACAATAAGTGTGATTTGCTACCGATCATTGTGTTCGCTGAAAAACTGGGGTTTGAAGTACCGCTACACCAGTGTGTAATTCGTTCTATCCCGGGAGGAAATAATCTACAATCTCGGGTACTAGGAGGGGATTAAGTTCCTTAAGAAAACAATGTGAATTCAGTGGGCTCGGATTAAATTCATTTTCTTTTACATTTCTGTTTATATGTTATTTTATCTTCTCCAGAATTATTTTACAAACAAAGTTTACTAACAAACAAGAGATATATTTAACTTATTTTGTTTATAATATCTTAAAATAGATTTAATAGAAATAATGTATAGTCGATTATAGAATAACTAGAAAACATATGAAAAAAGCAGTTAGATTATTTTGAAGAATCGTACAATATGACTGATTTTATTCATATTTACATGAAATTGATGATATGAAGATTGTTGGAGCTAATCATACAAAATATTTATATATGTTGTTTAATCAATCAAATTATAACTTCCTTTTTTGTATACATATACATGAAAACTTTATCATAATTTTAACTATATTTACAAAAAAAATTATATATTAAATTGACTAATTTCTTCAGCGCGCGTATAATTTACTATATTTGATAAATTAATTTGTTTAAAGATATGTAATCAATTTCAGTAAAAACAAGTTCTCAGGAAATAGAGAACGACCAAGATCCAACCTCGGATTCCACAAGTGTCCACTGGTATGTCGCTCTGACATAACAATTGCATTGCATTCCTAAGATACAATTGGAGAAAATCCAATAAGCTTGAGACATCAGAGAAATTGAAATATGAGCAGCAGCAACAAGTTATTGATATTGGGAGGGACAGGCTACTTAGGACAGCATCTTCTACAGGAATTCACTGCAATCCAAAATACTCTTCCATATGCTCTCTCATTAGCCTTCACATACCACACCAACCCCCCTCCTGACCCTCTACTAAAAGCCTTTCCTCACGTCCTACCCTTCCATGTAGATTTGCGAACCGGCAATGGCTTTGATGCCATCTCTCAAAATTTTGGTCAGGTTTGAATTTTACACTACAAACTTACTAAAGATTTAATTTTTCCTTATTGGGTCTTGAAGAATTACTATTCTTTTGCTTGCATTTTCATTTCAGTTACTGGAGATTCCATTTTTCACTTGTGGGTCTTGAAGATTACCTTTTTTTTTTTTGTTTTTTGCACTTCTATTTTGGTGATTGAGATATGCATCTCAGAAGATTCCATCTTTCATTATGTTGGTCTTCAGGAATTACATTTGCAGTATGGAGTAAATTAACTGTTTTCTAGATTTGTACTATGTCTTCTTCTTTAGTTTTCTTTCTGAGAGTTTGAGATTTTACACAAGGGAGTGTCCATTTGTGTTGTTCATATTCTATCTGATATGAAGAGGTGGATCCAATATATAGGCAGAGGGCGTAATGTCTCACACTCAGGTCTATATATATGTTTCTATAAAATTTAAAGAATTTTTTTTGTATGTATATATATATATATATAATAATAAAAGATGCACCCGCTGCCTTCAAATTCTTGTTTGCCTCGACTGATATCACTTAGGGTGGTTAAATTTATTTACATGTGGTTTTGGTGTCTGTTTTTTGTGATCAAGGATAAATCCCTAAATGGTGGATTGTCTAGTTGGTCAAAATTATTACTATACCACTTAATATGTCTGTAATAGCTAACACCATGCTTTGTGATGTGAATGAGCAGCCTGATGTTGTGGTTAATTGTGCTGCACTTTCTATTCCGCGTGCCTGTGAAGTGGATCCTACTGCCGCCATGTCTATTAATGTGCCTTCTGTTCTTGTCAAATGGTTGTCAAGCTTTAGCTATGGTGGTACTCTTCTGATTCACTTGTCTACTGATCAAGGTAAGGCACACAGAAGTCGTTGTAGTAACAATAGTTAATTCATTACAGAAGTAAGAGAGTTTCTTGCTTCTGTCTTGAGCTGGTTACTTCTTAAGCTAAGTATGTTGGTTTTCTACAGGGAAGGAGAATGATAAAACATTGATTTACTTTAATTGGTACTGCTTGGTCATTGTTTCACTTATTTGGTACAGTTGGAAATAAGTATACCTAGATGATTTAAGTAAAATGGATATACTTCCTCCCTTTGTAAGACTTCTGGGAGTGAAAAGTGCATTGCGGAGTATGCAAGTCCTCCACTATTACCATACTCCACTTCTACTTGGTTACTGGGCAGTCAATTCTGCCCATGCACTCGTCTTATATTCAATGTTGCTTTGGAGCCTTTGACTCTTTTTACACTGATATAACAGATTCTCCTTTTTCGTTTATTGAAAAAGGATTCACCTGTTTCATCAGATGTTAAAGTTTATCTATTCGCTAAACTCTGTTTCAATGTTGCTTTGTGCCTGCATTGAAGTGCCGCCTAAGTGAGATGAAGTGCCCTACCTGCGCTGCACCTAGCTTGACGGCTTAAGTACACCTTAATTTGAGCCATAAGCCATTAACAACACTGCTGGCTATCAATATCATAGGAGCCAAACCATATATACTTAATTCCTGGTGTAGCTACCTCCGAAATTTCCTCCCTAAGAAACTAATTCTGGCACAAGCATGTCATTAATAGATAAAGAACTGGTTCCTTCTAACACATGGGAAATTCTTTAGTATCAAGGAAAGCAGCAGTAGGTTTGACATGTTATTTAGAAGTTTCTGTAACTCCTATGGCAGATACAGGTGAAATTTTTTAAAATTTATTAGACACTTGGATAAGGAAGATACTGAATTCAATATCCGGTGCATTAAAATTTTGACAAAATTAGGATGTTAGCTTCTGTTCACCAATTTGCCTGATATTTTTGTTGGTGTTAATGCTTCATATTGTTTGTTTGGTAGTGGTTCTTTCCATGAATAGATTTGAAGAAGTTTGTTGCAACCTAAGCATTTGTGATCATGCTCTCTTTCTTGTTGATACAACTTTACCAAATTGTTGAGTGTTCTCACGTGGCTGGACTGACGGTCATTTAATTTTAGAATGTTCTCATGTCTCTTGATTGATGCACACCAATTTTAATGGGACAAGGTGAAGCTAATTTGACTTCATTTCAGTTTATGAAGGGACCAAATCCTTCTACAAGGAAGATGATGAAACCCTTCCTGTTAATGTTTATGGAAGATCAAAGGTAGCAGCAGAGCAATTTATATCTGCAAATTACTCAAATTTTGCAATTTTGAGGAGCAGTATTATTTATGGACCTCAGACTGTCTCCCCTGTCCCAAAATCACTTCCAGTTCAGGTGGATACGATGAACTTCACCTTGTTCTTGCACTTGTCCAACTTCATTAAGGGATTGTTCAGTAGACTGAGTGGGGGCCATATTAGCCTCCATGCTTTTTTCATTTGTTTGCTACTTTGCTTGGAAATTTTAACCACTTTATATCTTTTTTTATGCTTAACCTAACCACTTCATATTATGTCAAGCTTTCTTTTGTTTGGCCTGTAAGTTGATTTAAACTTGATATTGAGATTTATTCAAGCTCGCACATATTAATTCGTGCTCTATCTGAGATTACTATTTCTTCTATTTGTCCCCTATTTTTGGACTCAATGGTCATATCATAGGGAGTGAGTAACTCTATTAAGCTTTATAATCTATACTACGTTTTGTTACATTAACTGAACATAAAATTGATTACTTAGTCATGATTCTATTATGATACAACAACAAGAACAACCACGTCTCAACCAAGCATTTCAACTATGATATATGGCATTAAATTACTCTACTGCTGGGCTTTGTCTGATTCTTCACATGAAAATCATGCAGTGGATGGATAGCGTTCTTGCGAAGGGAGATGCCATGGAGTTTTTTCATGATGAGTTCCGTTGTCCTATCTATGTTAAGGATCTTGTGACCATCATATGGACATTAACGAATAGATGGATCTCAGGTTTGTCATGCTTTGACCTCCAAACTGGATTTCGTCGATCAAAGTTACATAGCTTTTTGACAAGCCTCGATGTCTGTATTAACAAAGATGTGATACTCTTTTACCTGTTACCCTTCTCAGAAAAAAGAAAAAAAGAAAAAAGAAAAGAGGAGTATGTGATACCCTTCTTCACTTTGTCTTTTTTACATGTGTGCGGTATGTTACTGAAATCTTTTCACTGTAATCTCTGATTGGACTGTATCATGCTCCTCTTATTGTTTTTTGAAACTCCATTGTAAAGATGTATGAAGGTTCTTCTTTTCAGAGGTAGAATTGGAGCTTTGGGGTAGAAAGGTATCAGTTATCTTCTGAAAATGTTCTAGGATTGGCTCTATTCTTTATGGTAGTTTTCTACTTATTTAATCCAACCTTGCTTGTTGCACGATGATTTGATTCTTTTGAACAATATTATTGAGTTAACTGGAATATAATCCAGAACAGTAGTTCAGCTCAGTGTCCAAGGGTTCACTATGACTCAATGCAGAAAAGTTCCACAACATTACTGTCGATGCTAATAATCGGTTGACATTTATATTTTATCTAATTTTTTTTTTTTTAAAGCCTTCTAGTAAAGTTTGTGACTAAAGATTGCCTGAATTTCTGTCTCCTTCTTGACCTTTTGTGTTTTATCACTTGATGTGTGTTGTTTCTAGGGAGAGAGCCGATACAGTTACTTTTGAACGTGGGTGGACCAGATCGGGTTTCCAGGGTTCAGATGGCTGAAGCTGTTGCACATATTAGAGGTTATAATTTGTCATTGATCAAACCAGTGTCCTCATCAACTGTAAGTAATGACACTTGCATGTACACACACAAAAACTATCAAAAATTGACTCTTAATTTCTCATTTGCCGTCCAGCTTCTTTGTACCAATGGCAATATATGAGCTTTCAATCTGCTTTCACTGTTGTTTCATCCCTGTTGTGTTGCAGAAGAAAATATCACTAATGCTTTTCTGTTCAAACCGTGTACCTAACATGTGTGTGTTATCTGAACTTTCTAGGTTAACCGCGGTGTTAAATCTCCAGCAGATATATCCATGGATATCACCAGATTGATTCAGGCACTCAATATGTCAGCGACTGCATTTAGGGATGGTGTTAAATTGACACTTGAAGCTGAACTTGCTTCAACATCATAGTAGCTTGTCACTTGCTCTTTACCAGAATGTCATCTTTGGGGTGTATACTGAGGTTCATTGGATCTCCTGAAGGGATAGTTGCTGCCGAGTGGTCGGTAAAGCAGTTGGATTCAGAAGGTTAAGCTTGCAAACTTAGCACCAATTCTATGTGATTTTAAGAAGTTTATCATCCATCTAGAAGGGTATGGTTAGTTTGTTCATGTATGTGGTATGGTTCATAAATTCATGAGACTATACATCCATTATCTGTGTTTAGCAGCATGCCCTCTTTTGGGTGATAATTATGATGTTTGAGTCCTCAATTATTCCACGAAGCACCTGCTACCTTCTACCAACACAAGTTTCGTATAACTCTCCACACCTAGAGTTATGCATCTTTTGTAAAAAGATCGTGTAGATGGATACATACTATACACAACAGGTGTAGTCACACTCCGTCTTTGACGAAAATAATTAGAAATGTATTTGTAAATTCTACTCCATCCATTTCATTCTTTGCGGTGATGTTTGATTGGATACAGAGTTTAAGAAATAAAGAAGGACTTCCGACAAATGAGCTAAACATGAAAGGTGGAGATGGCTTTCTTGAAGAATTAACGCAAATAGCCGCCCACCCAACCGCTTAAACTAAAAATAATCGGTGAAGGTATAATATATAATTGTGTATAATCAATATATAAACTATGTTACATAGTCTATGTATATGGCTAGAAAAAGTGAACAATGAATATGAACAGCTATTCATGTAGGGGTATTATTACTTTTAGCTCGCGCCAGAAACTATTTACATCTGATAGCCGAAAAAGTGTATAAAACTTGTATAATTTTTGTACATAGCATACAATATATATATATATATACACACAAAATATACAAATTTTATACATTTTTCGGCTATTATTTTTACAACGGCTATACAGGGAGTATCATTTTTTCATTTATGTAAAGATGGCATATTTCTTTCTCCTAATAAAATAAGCTTTATATCAGTTGAGTTTCGACAAGTCACGTCAGTATTCCAAATACAGAAGATGATATTCTTTTGAGACATAGTACTAAAAAAGACATATTTAGCAAAATGGGACTAATTGAGATTTGCTTAAGTGCTCAAGTAATAATACCAAAAAGTTCATGAACTGACCAGCTGAAAAAGTAGACATCTTCTGAGTCCCAGTCAAAGAAACAGTGAAGGAATCAATAGTTTACGCGGAGAACATTGAAACCACTGGTCCTTTTGCTTTTAGAATCAATTCCAATTTTTTCAATCCCAATTCCAATTATGCGCTGGTTGGTGTCCTCCATTCATTATCTTTATTCTGTTTATTCTCCTTGTGTAAATAATATTACAAGTTGCTTAACAAAGTAGAATTATTCTATATGGTATAGAAAACTAATTTGCCATCACAAGAGATGCTAGCTCCAACTTTGACTAGCATCCCACTGTAATTTGAAGAAATTACCTATAACAGATGTCAAAGTAATTTTTAATTACTTTCAAAGAGGTCAAAGTAATTACAATGTAATCTTTTTTGTAACAGTTGTATTCGGATCAACTTATATGTATCCTGTCTAATACATCAGGTACCTCTCACACGTACATGCATAAAGTAATTAAGTAGTATATGTTTATTGATAATGCATTAACAAGCATTAAAAAGAATTTATCAGTATCAAAGAGGAGTTTGGCAAAAAAAATATTGAGTATTATTCATCACAGTTTGGTCAACTTGATTTATGATTGAAGTCAAATTAGGTCACTGAGTAATTATTAGTTAACATTTGTGTACTGATTAATGCAAAACTCAACGAAGAATAGTAATGGAATTTTTAAATATAATGTTACTTATGACCTATGCAAAGCATATCTAGAGAATAAATTATTGGTGACTAGACAAATATCATGTTGGAACTTAGAAAGCAGGTATCTGGTACTAAAAACTAGAAAGGTATTACCTCCACCAAATATAGCAAAAACCCACTCAGGATCAAAATCTACTTAAACTTCTTAATTATTCTAAAAATAAAGTTACAACTTTATCCTAACACTTTCAAAGGAGAATCAACATCAAAACATGGGCACATTAGATCTGCGTAATCAGTGGCGAAGCTAGAAATTTTTTCAAGGGTGTTCAAACTTGAAATAAGTAAAAAAAATAATCCGACAAAGGGTGTTCAATACATGTTATGTACCTCTAAAATATAATATTTTACCTATATAAACAATGTAATTTTCCGACAAAGGGTGGTCAGCCACCCTAACCTAAGTGTGCCTTTGCCCTTGTGCGTAACCATTGAATTAAGAGCCCGTTTGGCCAAGCTGCCAAAATCTGCTTATTTTGAAAAATACTTTTTTTAGAAGTACTTTTGGAAAAAAACAATTTGTGTTTGGCCAATTCATTTAAGAAGTACTTTTTATAATATTTGGTAAACAAATTGTGTTTGGCCAATCTTTCTAAAAGTACTTTTGAGTGTCAAATTACCAAAAAGGATAGTATCAAGATCTTATAATTCTTTTAAAGAGAAAACGAACTCAAATATTTATTGTAAGAGACTTTTATTATTTTTATTTTATTTAATTAAAATATAAAATATAAAGTAAACAAACATATTAAAGATTAAATTAATTTTACATATATAGTTATACCAAAGCATATATTATTATCTAGTATAATTACTTAATGTTATGTGATGATTTGAATAATAAAAATACATCAATCAGTATGAATTAGAAGTCTATTCCACAAATTACTATATAATGATAATCTACCATAAAATACTAAGTAAAGTCACTCCCACATGATAATATTTCTCAACAATTTCATCTCTACGTCTATCACACAACGCCTCCATATTAGTAGAAGACTTGCCTTGTATTTCTAAAGGAATATCAAAAGGCCCAACTCCTGCCTCAATCTCTGCAGTAATGTCTTCATTAGCATAATAATTGAATTCCTTATCGATAGAAGAATATCGTCGGATGAAATTATGTATAGCCATGGCAATTGTAACTAGATGATTTTGAGTGTCAAACTTGAAAGATGGCATTGAGCGTAAAATAGAAATAATTTTAAATATATAAAAATAAATTTTTTTGTAAAAAAATAGTTAAGTATGTTTAAATTCAAATTCAAAAAGAGTAACTAATTATTAACAACACATAATGTATAATTTAATTTTTTGAAATTTAAAATCAAAAAGAAACTAATTAGTATTACCTAACCTTACTAACTTTGTCCTAAATTGCCAAGTGGCCTATTGTCAGGCTGCCACTTGGCTTATTGTGTGATGCTTTTTCTTCTTCTTTTAATAATATATAAATAGATTATGCGATGCAATTGTAAATTTATTACCTATTTGTAGGTAATTTTCACAAATTAAATTTGATAATTGTTTTAGAGATTCGGGAACTAATAGCATATAATAGAAGAAATTACAAATGATTATTTGTAGGAAGAGAATTGATAATCCAAAGAAGGATATAGATAATTTGCTTTAGTGTGAAAAAAGAAGAAGATAATTTGGAAAGTTACAAGACATTACACAAATTTTTTTATCAAAAACCAGAAAAGTCAATAAAGAATTTAGAAAGTTACAGTATGATTCATGTATATGACATCTTTAATTTTAAAAGAATGGTAAAAACTAGAAACAAAAATGAAAAGAAAAAATTTAAATTAGTAAGGGATAATTTGGAAAATATAAATTTATGGTAAGGATAATTTTGTCTTGAATAAATTAATTTTTCACTTCTGTTTCTGCTTCTTGGAAGAAGCTAGAATTTTCTGCTTCTTCCCAAAAGCAAAAAAACTACTTCTGCTTGGCCAAACAGACTCTTAGTAATATTTCTTCCTTTAATGCATCATTAAATATATAATGAAGAATGATCATTCACATGGATCATATTAATCGGGTCTACATGAATTTTTTTTTGTAACTCCTCAAATTCTCCTTACTAACAACATAATGAATTGGCTAATCCAGTGGTTGATTTCCCATATAATTGATTCATTGATAATAATTAATTGGAAGGTAAATTTAATATTAGGTACAAATAATAGAAATAGTGTTTAGGTAAGGGGTAAAAATATCATTTAGTTTTTAATGGGCATTTATGTAATTCAGCTTTACACTTGAGGTATTCTCACTTATAATATAGTATGATATGATATGAATTATGTAATTCAGCTTTACACTTAAGGTATTCCCACTTATAATATAGTATGATGATATGATGATTTGATGCATAATATATGCAATACTCATTTCTAATACACAAATAAATTTTATTTATAATGTATATGGTAATTCATGATTAACAACATATATACATGGCAGGATAAGCAAGAAATTTACTTCAAAGCAAGATATATTAGTGAAATAAAAATTTATATTTACCTTAGACTCGAATGCATAATATTTTCCCTAAATTTTTGCCTTCTCCCCCCTATTTTTCCATTTATGGGCTACCTTAAAACAAGCAAAAATTATGACTTTTCAGATTCTCTTTAGAACTTACTCCCTTCCTCTTCAAACGAATAATGTTGCAAAATTAAATATCACAATAATAATATTGTAATAATTAATACTGTATTAATGTTGTAAAACTCCTCCACTACTCTTATTACTTTTCCTGCCTCTTCGTCTTTCTTTTCCATATACCTCCACACTGCATATATGAGCATAATTTCTTTTCCAAAATCAATTATGCTTTGTCACTCTCTAACGAACTATATATAGGATGGAGAGGAGTAGCCATACAAACTATACCACAAAAATGGTATCACGCCTTATCTTTTACATTTCAATTTACGTTATGTGATTTCTTCTTTTCTTTTCCACTGTAAAATATGATCTTCATGGCAATTAGGTTTTACTATTGCAGCATATTTCTTCTCTTCTTGCACATGTACTCGCTACGTATAAAGATGAGTAAGATATTATATCTTAAGTGGGAGCGTATCACCATGGATTTCGTAGCTGTGTTGCCGCGGACTTTGCGAAAGTTGTGGGTCATTGTTGATAGGTTGACCAAATCGGCTCACTTCATTCCAGTGGCGACTACTTATACAGCGAAGAGGTATGCTCACATTTACATTTGGGAGATACTCCGGTTGCACGGTGTGCCTGTTTCCATCATATCAGACAGAGGCCCTCAGTTCACTTCCCATTTCTGGAGAGCCGTTCAGAGTGAGTTGGGGACCCATGTAGAGCTTAGCACAGCATTCCATCCTCAGATCGACGGGCAATCGGAGTGGACAGTTTAGATTTTAGAGGATATGCTTAGAGCATGTGTTATAGGTTTGGGGTGTTGATTGTTGATTATTGGTTAAGGGTGTTGTTTACTTTATGGGTGATAAAGAATAATGTTGATTATAACCATTTGAGACTTTAGAATTTATCTAGGAACAAGAGAAAGGGTTATTGGGTGTAGAGACACCATTAATAAGGACTATGAAACTTTATATCACCAAGTGTTTGAGAAAATGCTTAAGCGACTAAAACATGAGAATTATTGCTAATATGGAATCCCTTTGTCTTGTATTGATATAGATTAAAGTTAAAAGGGTTGGCGAATGTTGTATTACGCTCAAGAGCAGGAAGTTAAGGTATGTGAGGCTAACTCTCTATGTTTGGGAATGTTAATGATTCTCCCCACATTACGTTTCTTTTACCACGTTACTAATTGCCTCAGAAATATAGTTAAGCCTAGTCCCTTGAATAGTTGCTGAACTTTTATTCTCTAGCTTCATAACTCGTTCACCACTTTCATTCTGAATGTTGTGAGCTCAGTGCGTATTCAATATAGACTTGGGTTTGATGCCCCCGAGTCTTATTATAGATTACTCAGTATACCATAAATAGTTGAAGCTTCAGTATTCATAATCAGTTCAAGAATACATGTCTTAGTCTAGTCCTATTCAGTATTCCAGTATTATGTAACTCAGTGTGATCCAGTATTCCAGTATCACGTAACTCAGTATGATTCAGTATTTCACTATCATGTATTGCAGTTTGATTCTCAGTTCCTGAATGTTGAACATATGTATTTGGGCCTGAGGCCGCAGTTTATGCTTTATGCATCTTTGGGCCTGAGGTCGCAGTTTATGCTTTATGCATTTAGGACCTGAGGTCGTAGTTATGTATACGTATACTTGGGCCCGAGGCCGCAATTGTGCACATATATATATTGGGCCTGAGGCCGCAGTTTATTATTCAGATAAACAGGTTGTTCATCATTCAGAAGATGGAGTATTCATATCCTTACTTCCTTTGTTCAGTTCAGTTATTAGTTATCATTTCAGTTACCAGTTATCAGTTCAGTTCAGTTATTAGTTATCATTTCAGTTACCAGTTATCAGTTCAGTTATCAGTTATCATTTTAGGTATCAATTATCAGTTATCGGTTCAGTTATTAGTTATCATTTCAGTTATCAGTTATCAGTTATCATTTTAGTTATCAGTTATCGTTTCGGTTTCTATTTCAATAGTTATCATTTCAGTATCAATTATCAATTCTTAGTTATCAGCCCAGTTTCAGTTTCAGCCTTTATAATTCTTTCTTTCAGTTGCTTTACACACCAGTGCAATTCAAATGTACTGACGTCCCTTTTTCCCGGGGCCTGCATCTCACGATGCAGGTAATGATTTACAGGTTGATGATTCAGAGTGCTAGGATTCTCGTACCAGCTATTTGGTGATCCCCAGTTCTTTCCGGGCATTATCATTACCTTACAGTCTTCAGTATTTTCAGATAGTCAGTGCTTTCAGTACTTCACTAGAGGCTTCATAGACTAGAGAACAGTTAGACAGAGTCGCAGGCTTTTCTTATTAAGCTATGTTGGCTACAAATATGTTTCAGAATTGTATTAGTATTTCCGCACTTTGATTTATACCATCCAGACTTTCAGTATATCAGCATGTGTTAGTTTATCTTCCGCATTTAGTATGTTATGATACCACATGTTGATTCAGCCAGCCAGTTGGTTCGCTCGGTCAGATGTAGTCATGCACCGAGTGCCGTGTTACGTCCAGGCCCAGTTTCGGGGCATGACAAAGCTTGGTATCAGAGCACTAGGTTCAAGTTTCCTAGGGTTGAAATTCATGTGTATCTATTTTCTAAAACATAATTTAACTTTTATTTTAGAACTAAAAAATATTTCCTAATAAATATTTATGTGATTCTTAATAGTTTATGCTCATCGATATGAGATACGCGCGCAAAGCATGTGCCTAGGTACTAGTTACAGAAACACAGTGCAACAAGTGGTACAAATACCTCATCTGCTTGTAATACTATTCGACAACATTTTGATAATGTTGCTTGTTAAGCCATAATCTAGACATAAATGACGACAAAGTATTTACTAAACTCCAATTGTAAATAATCTTTAATCTTCTCTTTACAAGGCCAAATTGACTATAGATGAGATTCTATATAAAAGAGGTAGACTTCACTGTTATAGTAAATAAAGTTCATTAACCATACGTGAAATTGACTGTAGCGACAGTGTACAACACTCCTTCACCTAGAACTTTTGGTTGCTGCATCCTAGAAAAAGTAAGTGGGGAGGATAAAGCTGAATCTAAACACTGGTTATACATACTATTTGGTGCTAACTTTGGATTCCGAATTCATAATTTACTCCAATTTACCCCTATTTGTAATAAGTTGGGACTTTAAGATCTTTTATAATACTCTCAATGTCCCTTTTTACAAGTATCAGAATGCTGTAGAAGGCGTAAAGTCAAAAGCAGAGTATACAGGGCCTGATCCTAAATTGGCTGCTAGTCTTGAAAAGGAAATATTGGATACTAATCCAGGGGTGAGATGGGATGATGTTGCAGGACTCAATGAATCAAAGAGGCTTTTGCAGGAAGCAGTGGTACTCCCACTGTGGATGCCTCAATATTTCCAGGTACTGCAGATAGTTTATTTTGATTATAGGCATACTAAAGAACGATGAGTGTGTGTTTGGTACGACGGAAGTCATTTTCAGGAAAATAGTTTTCATCATTTGTTTGTCTTCCCAAAGGGGGAAAATGATGTCATTTTCTTTATGACTGTTAACTTTAATTTCATATCAATCGCTCAAAATAACATTTGGACATTATTATTTTATCTTAGTACTTCTATATAGTTCAATATTCAATGTTACTTGCAGGGAATCAGGAGACCTCGGAGAGGAGTTCTTATGTTTGGTCCTCCTGGCACAGGGAAAACACTCTTGGCCAAAGCTGTTGCTACGGAGTGTGGGACAACATTTCAGAATGTTTCTTGTTCTTCGTTGTGCGCAAAATGGTACGGGGAGAGTGAACGGTTGGTACGGTGCTTATTTGATCTTGCCCGTGCTCATGCTCCTAGTACAATTTTCATTGATGAGATTGATTCTCTTTGCAGTGCCAGAGGGTAAGAATCAGCTCTTTCTAAAGTGATTTCATATACATGTGACAGATGAGGATTTTTCTCATTATCTTGCTGTTGTGTAAGGTTTATTTTCATCACCATATGTGATAAATTTGACTTCTAGGCATAGATAAATGTTACGGGGCTACACATCCTAGTAACTAGAGTTTAATCATTTAACAGAACCTGACTGGTGATGGACCGCATATTAGTTAGATGACAAGTTTGTTCTTGCCTCTACTAATCCAAAGCTTTGTATAGTTGCTGCAGAGAGCAGAGAAGATTAAAACAAACTTAAAACCTTAAGAGAATACCGAATAGGAAGGAAATTAGAAGCTGTATGTTTTATCGCAAACTGGATCATACTGTAGTTTCACTTGAGCACAGCTTAGTCTGCTCTGAACTGATATTCCCATCCATACATACTGGCAAGTCTATGTTTTTCGACCATTGAGATTTTTATCAAGCTACCGATTAATGCGTTGGAGGTCTCATTGACTTTAAACTGATATTTGCTAGATCGTATCTATAGCATGTTAGTTATTATTTTTAACAGATCACCAATGAATGTTTCATCATAAAGATTTACTAAATTTATATTATAAATAACTCTGGTTATGAAAATAATATCTCACCCTGCTCCTCTTTCCTTCACCTACCTCTTGTGTTTGCATACATCTCACAATGACATTTATGCATCGGCTTAAAAGTCAACATTACTTTGAGCCTTAATAGTTCTTAGGTGTGTTATACCTTATAATTTCTTAGTTTTAATTCTAGTGGTAAAACTTCATCAACTCTGAACCTGTTCCTTAGGGCTTCTGGAGAGCATGAAGTATCCCGAAGAGTGAAGTCTGAACTTCTAGTTCAGATCGATGGGTTAAACAACTCCACTAAAAATACGGCAGGCAAACCGGTCACAGTTTTGGCAGCAACAAATTTCCCCTCGGGTCTTGATGAGGCACTAAGGTTAACTTTACTTCTAAAACCCCTAGTCAATATTAGTTTTTTTTTTATTACTCTGATTTGTGTTCTATTTCATCTCTGGATCTTGTCTTATTGGTGATTCACTGTACTACTGTAGGAGGCGGCTAGAAAAGCGGATTTACATCCCGCTTCCTGATTTTGAGAGCCGTAAGGAGCTTATAAAGATCAACTTAAAATCAATCGCGGTAAGCTCTCATTATTGTTGTCTGCTGGTTTCTTAGTTTGGAGGTACTGTGCTTCGTTTTTTCGTAAGTTCATCTGCTGTATAATCATCATATGTCTCTACTCAAAAATAGGTTCGATGATCAAAGTCAATAAAATGAATGACAATAAAATAGTACATGTACATAATAATTGAACTAGATGTTATTGCAGATTATAGTTCAGTGATTATTAATATTACAGTGAATGCAATATAGGAAGATATAAAAGAAAAAATCTATTAAAATTGAAGGTAATAATAAGAGACCTTTTGGTTACATCTTAGTAGAATTTTAAGTGACTAGAATGACGAGGAAGGGTGATGCTGGAAGTCTATATGAATTTTATACATAGACTCTGTTACACAGTAACTTGAGAGCAAACTCAAATATTATCTCAGCTCTTGAGATATGATTGATAACTGCTAATCATCAAAGGTGAATCCAGGATTTAGAGTTAGTGGGCTCAAAATGAGCGTGATATCAATCATACGTATCAATATTTAAATTTTTCCGCACTGCATGAGGCCTTTTAGCCGAAAGGAATGTATGCAGCTGAACCATGGTAACTGTGCTAGAGTCGCCTCCCATTATTACTGCTCCTCGACATTGAACAGAAATTTTTGTTGATACTAATAATCTGCAACATGAATGCCAGCTAGCTCCTGACCTGGATATTGACCAAGTGGCACGAAGAACAGAAGGTTACAGTGGAGATGATCCAACAAATATCTGTAGAGATGCTTCTTTAAATGGGATGAGACGTAAGATCGCAGGGAAAAACCCAGATGAGATTAAGAACATGTCCGAGGCCGAGATTTTGGAAATTCCAGTTATGATGGATAACTTGCTAGAAGCTCTAGTTAAAATACAACCCACAGTTTCTAGAGGGGACATTGAACGACATGAGAAATGGTTTTCAGAATTTGGATCAACGTAGAAAATCAAGTAAATGCTACTAGTTAGAATTGCTTTTTTTGGGGTCCCAAAAGATACAGTTACTAGGGAGACATTAGTCATATATCACAGTTGTTGTTCTCTCTGTTTCGTTCTCCCTTGAGTTTACAATCATTTAATTGAATGCTTAATTTTGCTTTCTTTTTAATAGATAGCTGGTTAAGAATTTCAGGTTATGCCGTTGGAAATGAACAGGAATAACAGGTTCAGAAACAAAAATACGCAAGGGAGTCTCTGTTGTGTTAAATAGATATGTATATAGTATAGACTTATAGTCATGCAGTTGGAGTTGGATAAGAAAAAACAAGTCAGCTAGTCAAAGAAGATTGTAGATCTAGTACATGTCTAACTAATATGAAATGATTCAATCATGCATTAAGAAAATCCACTGCGCGTGCTTCCATCTTTGGAGTTTGGAGGTGTGTCTGAAGAAAAAACTCCGTCTTATATGTTTCTTTAATCCTTTTACTGAATTGTTGCGTTTAAATTTACTATCTACCTATATATATATACATAATTATAGTTCATACCAAAAAATATTTATGGCCTAAGATTCAAGAAACCAAATCTTTTGGTATAATACTATGTGGTCTGATAAATCCAGTTTAGCACTGTGTCAGATCATTAAAGAGGAAACTTCTGACATGTAGCTCCCTTTCAATGGTCCAACGTGATACGAATCTAGACTAGTGGCAAGGGTGGCTCAAGGGGAGGCTAGTAAAACCTTTGCTTTAGGATCCCTAAATTTGGGGCCCCAAAAATTTTTTTTAGTTTTGAATTTACTATCTTATTTTCGCTTATACAATATTGAAGTTTATAGAAAGAAAAAATAATACTAAATCCTTATAAAAATGGAAAGAAACACTATCTATTTATTATCAAAAATAACGATTTTTACAATAAGATCCGAGGTAACGAATTGTAAATACGTGGCTAACATTTTATTAATTTGAATTTTCTTACCAATGTGAATAATAATACACTACTAGAATTCCGAAAAAAAGCGACCAAAAAATAGCGACCAAAGTTGGTCTGCAGAGAAAAGCGACCAACGTTGGTCGCCAAACTAGCGAAAATAATAAAATAAATAAATGAAACAAATTAGCGACCAAGATTGGTCGCCATTTGGTCGCTAAATTAGTCAAAATGTTGACTGGACTGGTCAGACTTGCTTGATCAAAGGTTTACTGAGATTAGTGACCAATGTTGGTCGTTAAAGTGGGACCCACCTTCAAAATTTAATAATTATATTATTATTTTAAAAAAAATATAAAATTCAAATATATATAATTTGAACTTGGCGACCAACGTTGGTCGCTAAATAAAGGGTAGGCAGATAGCGACCAAGTTTGGTCGCTAAAGTGGGACTCAGTTATAAATTTTAATAATTATATTTTTAATTTAAATATTATATAAAAAATATAAATAAATTCGATTTAAATTTTGCGACCAACTTTGGTCGCTAAATTAATTTCATGTATAATTAGCGACCAAAGTTGGTCTCCATTAAGGTCAACAATGGTCAAAATTAAAAATCACTTTTGTATTTACTATCTAAATAATATAAATGTAAGCCGTTAATATATATAATATATATACTTACGCTGTACTATGCACTAAGTATAAGTGTATTAGGTACTATACCAAGAAAAACGTTTTAGCTTTAATTCTTTTGATTAGCATTTTCATACTTTTGTCAGTCAAATTATTGTCTGAATCCGAAGAAATATTACCAATATCCCATTAAGCTTGTACGGATCAGACTTGGAAGAAAGTTGAGAACAAAACTTCCTATTATCTTTGTCATCATAGAGTCTTATGATCCCCGTTTTATGGGAACTGCCACGACCAACGGTAAACATTCCATCACCATCAACCTTGTCACTATCAATTAANTAAAACCTTACTAGGAAAAACCCCGTGGAAAAAAAATTCTAAGTGAAGGAAAAAGAGTACACATATTTAGTAATACGCATTGCTAGGTGCCTCATTAAAAACCTTATAAGGAAAACCCTGTGGGAAAAAACCTTAGTAAGGAAAAAAGAGTGCATCGCGTATTTTACTCCCCCTGATGAAAACCTTGTTTCAAATATTTGAGTCTCTGCATTCTAATCTTGTATCTGCATAACCAATACGATCTGCACCACCTTTGTTAGTATTAGCTAGATACATAAGTGCATAGCAATTGCACTGAGATAGAGTATTTCAGGACCAATGAGTTCCTCATCCTCTTCTGGAGGTCGGAAGAGATCCTTATTTACTTCAAGTGATCAAACACTCATTGATGTACTTAATGGGTGCGCTTTGTCCATGTAAAAGCGTTTAAAGACCCTTTCTGTATAGGCAAATTGATGGATAAAGATCTCGTCTGCTAAATATTTAATTTTGCAGACCAAGATAAATTTTTATTTTTCCAAGATCTTTCATCTCAAATTCTTTCTTAAGATATTCAATTGCTTTTGGAGCTCTTCTGGAGTTCCAATAAGATTTATGTCATCAACGTAAATAGCAAGCATAACAAATTCTGATGACATTTTCTTTATAAAAATACATGGACAAATAACATCATTTATGTAACTTTCTTTCAGCAAATATTTACTGAGGCGATTATATCACATGCGCCCAGATTGATTTAAACTGTACAAAGATATTTATAATCTGATCGAGTACATTTCTCGAGACTTTGAACTACATGCTTCAGGCATTTTAAATCCTTCAGGCATCTTTATAGAGATTTAATCAAATGAGTCATATAGGTTATAACTCGCATTTAAATGGCATGATATCTTCAGGTGTCTGGACTACTGGTCCGATCCTCATAATATTTCACAGTATTGTGCACTATATTGTATCAAATATATCG